TGAAACTCATTTTGTATATGTGTATATATACATATTACGCAATATCATTATCATCAACCTAATATCATGTGATTGAATAAACTATAAAACCCATAAAATAAATAATAAACTCACCTTTAAAGGACTTAATCCACTTATCTTATTCCTCCTTCTTTCTTTTCTCTCTTTTTTCCTCCTTCACGTTATTTTTCTCTTCTTTGTTCATAGGACACCCTCCTCCATAAGCCTTATCACCAAAAGACCCTACAACCTAAATATATTTATATATATATAAGAGTTTGACCTATCCAACAATACTACCTTATTTAAACTACATGTATAAGAGTCCTAATAGGTCTCTAGGTAAGACTTTTTATAAGAGACATATATATATATATATATATATATATATATATCCTTATATATTACTCCTAGGTAGCCAATGCACCAAAATAATATAATAATTTTTTTATATGGGTAATTACACCATGCAAGGCAGGTGGTGCATCTATGTAAATAAATGCATTTTTCACAACTAACTAATGAAGAGGCCAAGAGTACTTCACAGCCAGAGAAATAATCAATCGAACAATAGTCAATTTTATCACGAGGGCAAAGGTGACACCAAAATCATGACCTGATAACTGAATAAAGCTCTTCGCCATAAGTCTAGCCTTGTGATGATCAATAGTACCATCCGCAAGAAACTTCAGGGTGTAAATCCAGCGACAGCTAACAGGTTTCACCCCTGATGGTAAAGGGACAAGATCCCACGTATGATTACACTTAAAAGTGTTCATCTCTTTCTGCAAGGCAAGAACCCACTGGGGTTTTCGCATAACCTCTGAAATAGAGCAAAGAACTAACGTATCTGATAAGGTCATACTATAAGCTCGAAATATATGAGATAGATTATCACAAGAAATATAAGCAGAGATCGGATAAAAAGTCCTAGTAGTCCAATCATACCGAACAACTGGACGGTGATCACGCCGCGGATAACGCCACCCTAAATCATCATCCACCACTGACAATGTCTGATCAGGTAAAGTAATTGGTTCAGTACCTACAATCTCATCAGTACTAACAATAGGTGCATCAATATGCTCAACGAACTGAGAAGTATTACCTGCCTCACCTGAGGTAGAGGGAACATTAGCAGGGGGATGAGAGCGAGAGCGACGAACATAAACTTGCAAAGGAAGAAAGACTGGTAACTCAGTACTGACAGGGACGAGTGACTCTGGAGAAGGAGAGATTGATGACTTTGTATTGATAGTGACCCATGGCTCTGGCTCCTGTGGTAATGAAACATCAAAGGGAGTATCATCAACTAGAGGGGTAGACACAAGACTGAAAGAAAATTAAGGAATATGCTCAAGAAATGTAATATCTAGATTACGATATATACGTCGCCTGATAGAATCATAACACCGATATTCCTTAGACTGATGACAATAGCCTACAAAGATACAAAGAATCGTTTTATCATCAAGCTTATAACGAGTAAGAGACCAATCCTGAACAAAACATGTGTAGCCAAAAGCACGAGGGGAGACCAAAAAAAGTGTCTGCTCGGAGAATAAAAATTGTAAAGGAGCCCTATGCTGAAAAACACGACTCGTTGTATGATAACACAAAAAGGTAGAAGTTAAAACAGTAAAATGTCAACAAGATTTTGGTACCCCCATACCTCTAAGCATACAACGTACCATCCCTATTAGACTCCTATTTTTCCTTTCAGCAACTACATTTTGCTCAAGAGTATATGGACAAGTGAGTTGGTGAAGGAAACCCTGAGAAGAAAGGTGAGACACTAAGGCATCAGACACATATTTTTTGACATTATTCGAACGAAGATCATGAACAATGACATCGAATTGTGTCTTAATCATCTGCAGAAACTGAGTGATAACAGGGAGTACATCAGACTTCCTATGCAAAAGGTAGACTCAAGTACAACGGGTATGGTCATCTATAAATGTCATAAATTATCAAGCACCTGATAGAGCAGTAACAGGAGAGGGTCCCCAAATATTAGAGTGTATTAGGCCAAATGGTTTGGGCGACTGGTGCATGCGAGGAATATAACTGGTCCGAACATGTTTCGATAGGAAACATATAACACAGTCAAGTTTACCACCAATACAAACATTGCTCAAAGCAGAAAATAACATACATAAATATTTAAAATTTGTATGCTTAAAGCGATTATGCTACAATTGAACAGTTTGTGATGAAAAATTATAACAACAAGTGCTATGTTAAATACTAGCATGCAAGCTTGGAACAGATAAAGACAAAGCAGGTGAAGGAACTGGTAAAACTGGAGGTGGATTGCCTAGATAATACAGTTCTTCTCTCTCATATCCCCTAATAATAATCCTCTTGGTACTCAAGTCCTGCAAATAACAAGAATCAGATAAGAACACAACCGCATAGTAAAAATCTCTGACTAACTGATGTACAGATAATAGTTCCATGACCAGCTTTGGCGTATGAAAAATCGAATGTAATGTAAATTCATCTAGGAGGTGGACTGTACCCCTACTAACAATAGGGGCATGTGTCTTTTTTACTAGTTGAACCTGTATATGTAGTTGCTCATCAAAAGTAGTGAAGTGATAGGCCTCAGCTGTCATATGATCATTCGCACCCGAATCTAATATCCAAAAAAAAGACGGACTGACGCAAGCGTGAAAAGCACGAGATATACCAGTAGTGGTGACAGTAGCAGTAGTTGAACCCTGAGAAGTCAAGGCGGACCTAAGTATATCCAATCGGGAAGTGATAGTATCCATATCACTTTGACAAGGAGAAGAAGCAGCAGCAGTAGGTGGTGGTACCTCAGCAATAGTAGCAGTACGATCGCGAGGAGGCGACTTAAGCTCCATATGGAACTTCCATCAAACAGCCCTAAGATGTCTTAGTTGGCCACAATAACTCCACTGATGAGAATCCTCCTATCTATGCTAATCTGGGATACCCTGACGGCACTAGTCCGAGCGTTATGCACCCCTAAATGAGGATCTTGTACAAGACCCTGCAACAGCTACAAGGGTCATCTAGTCAACCGAATGAGTCAAGGCCGCAACTGGAAGTGATGCAATACGAATGCTACGCTCATATGGTTTAATCATCGCATACACCTCATAAAGAGAAGGAAATCTCAACATTGAAAAGATCTGGAAACAAGGCCCCTCAAATTCATCACAAAGCCCATAAGAAACTTGTGAATCCTATCCTCCTACTCTTGAGTATGCAAGAATACAATCTCCTTCGAGCTCTATCCTCGGAATAGCAAGAAGGGGACGTAGAGTCTCATACTTAAGCCAACGCGAGGTTAAATAGTCATAATAATCCTGAACGTTCATATTTCGCTGCCGAGTATATGAGAGCTCCTGAGAAAATTCATAAACACGAACTCCCCATCCCGACTAGGAATATATCTCTGATAATGTGCTCTATAAATTCATAACAGAGCTATAAAACTAATGAATCTTGCAAACAGATGGCTCCATCGAGCCAAATAACCATCCAAGAATGGCGCAGTTCTCAGAGAACCACGCAGAATATCCAGGGTCGTCATCAAATGACTTTGGGTGAGATCCCGTCAACCAACCTAGCTTCCCTACATGACCTAAGAAAAGCTAAAATGAGCGAGACCACTCAGTGAAGTTACGACCATTCAACAATTCTGCTATAACTTTCTGAGAGATCATGTCTGGAAGTGCTGAAAATACAATATGTCAGTAGGTATTATATACTGGTCAAACATAAAAGTGGAAGTACTAATAGATATCTCAACGATAGAGATCTCAGCGATAGAGGTGTCAAGTCCCTCAGTAGTAATCATAGTATTAGTCATATCATCAACAAGACTAGGGCACCCACAACAAAAAAATAACTCTAAGATAAATAGAGGGATAAAATAAATGAGAACAATATACCTTCAGTCGAACAGTAACGACAGATAAAAAAGGTCTAGAAAGCTCCCAAATAATTAGGTCACAGTGTCAAAAAATTCAATAAATATAAATAAATGATCTACTGCATTAAGAGCAGATCAACGAAAAAGATGCGTTAACACCTTTTAAAAGGTCTTACGGTCCCAAATAATCAGGCACACAAGGGAAAAACATGAAGCTACGACGAAGAACGCAACCACACCAGTGGGCTGGTTCGCTAAAATGGGTATTGTGTTGGGTTTGAGGTTCACCAGTGTTGGAGTTTGGGGCTGGACTGGGTCATCGCTGGGTTGGGCAGTGGATTGCTGGTTTAAGCAATGGGTCGTTGGGTTGGTCAGTGGGTCACTAGGTTAAGCAGTGGGTCGTTGGGTTGGTCAGTGGGTTACCGGGTTGAGCAATGGGTCGCTGAGTTCGTTTAGTTTATTGGCTGAGTTCGGTTTAGTTGCGAAGTTCGATTTATTGGCTGACTTGGGTTGGCTAATTTTGTCGTCGGGTTTTGCTGATGGGAGGCTGAATGTTGGTCCTTGAGTTCTGGTTAGCGGTGGGCTGTTCGGTTTTGCTGATAGGGGTGTTATGTTGGTCGCTCGGTTTTGCTGATGGGAGGCAGAATGCTGTTGAGTTCTGGTCGGCAGTAGGGTGTTCGGTTTTGCTGAGATCAAGGCAGTGGGCTGTTCAGTTTTGCTGATAGGGGTGTTATGCTGGTCAGTTTGGCTGTCAGTGGAGGACTGGTATGGTCTGGTACGAGAATGGGCAGTCGGTGGATGGTGGCTGCAACGTGGTGAAGGGTCTAGGGTTAGGGTTAGGGTTAGGATTAGGGATTTTGACTTTAATACCAACTTGATGTATTGGTGAGTAAAAAGGGATACCTAAACTAAGACTAGAGTCTCGTATATATAATCAAATAATATTATAAAATGACCTAAACATCCTTGTAATCTAAACACAATATAAAAATCATAATAAGGGTGAAAAAAGAAAAAACTAGGGTGGTATAACTCCAACAGAAAACACCAGTCCTCAAAGTTGAGTACGAATTGTATTGAAATCCACGATTTAAAATTGAAGATAAGAAGCATAATAGGGAAGACTTACTATGCCATTGATGTTTGGAACCTCTCCAAGAATTGCAGCCAGAAGGGTTGACTTTCCTGACCCAACCTCTCCACATATGGCTACCTTTTGACCAGGTTTAACAACCAAATCTATGTTAGTTAGGGCCGCCTTCCAATTGTTAGAATCCCATGAAATACTTGTGGAATTAAGCACTATAGACTTCCCAAGTTCCTCTCCAAAGCACTTCTCCTGGATATGTCTATTCCGCAATTCAGGTGCCTCAAGAAACTTCTCAATCCGAGTTAACGAAACCTTTGCTTCAATGAACATTCCCCCAACATCAGGTAGCAACCTGATGGGCTCCTGAACAATACGTAAAGCTGCAAGAAACGTGAAAATGTTACTAGCATTCAGAGGGATTCCAAGGAAGTAGCATGCCCAGAAAGTAATAGCCGACACAATGATGGAAGATGACCAAAACAGAACCATATAGTAGCCTTTCTGTGAGAGAACTGCCGATAACCATTTATATTCTTCTTTCCTAAGCCCTTCTATAACATTTCTGAAATGTGTCTCCCAGGCATACAACTTCAAAACTTTCATGCTTGTAAGAGCCTCTGTAATGGCCTTCAGCCTGCTGTCTTGAGCCACCATAAGCTTTTTCAGGTACTTGTACTGTAATTTGGCCACCGGAGTATTTCCTACTACAGTTAGTATTACCACTAATAGGGCTGCAACAGATGCTAAACCCACAGAATAGTAAATAACAACCAATGCAAGACATATCTGAAGGCTTGTTGTCCATATTTGATGAAGCCAATATGGGAATTCACCTATTTTATTGGCATCCACAGTCACATAATTCATTATTTCTCCAGGAGAATGAGTTGTCTTAGCGGCACTTGATAGCCTTAGCTGCTTCTTGTAAATAGCTGCAGACAGGCAAGACCTTACTTGGAGACCAATAAGTCGAGTTTGGAAATACCATTGCCTCTCTGATATTGATTCAAAGCATTTTGCAAGGAAGAGCCCCCCGGTTAGAGCATAACCCTCATATTTAAAAGCCTCATTGCCTTGAGCAACCCTAATGAAAGCTCTAAGAAGCAAGGGGCTGATAGCCAGGGTGAGTACTTTGATCAGAGCAAGGAGGCCTGATGTCAAAATAGCTTTCCACTGCCACAGAAATATTGTAGATGAAATAGAGGATGAATCAGAAGATCCTTTCCTTTCCTGTATGCTCAATTGCTCCATAAACTTCAAGTAACATGTTTCTGCTCGATCTTCCAGCCTTAACTTTGGTATATCTTTGTTCTCAAGAGTTTTATGTTTACCCTTCTTCATTAGTGCATTCAACCACCAAAATGATAGTTTATTCAGGAATTCAGCTTCAGCAAAAGGAGTTACATTCTCAACCATACGAATTTCCTTGCCATTATCCGCTTCTTTGCATAGCAAAGGTGCATAGAGTGCATTTCTTTTGGTGCCTGCTTCAGTTTCTGCCTGGTTAGGTTCCCCAAATGCAGATAAGACAAGTAGAATTGCTCCCGGAAATGACAAAATGTCTAACACAATCTTTACAGATGCTTCTTTGTCCTGAATAGCTTTCGAAACAGATGGGATGCTTAGAAATGCTGCAAAAAAGATGGCGAGGATTGAAGAAATCTTCACCATGATACTATGTGGATGTTGTCCGCTTTTAAAACTCACTGTTGAGCCCATCAGGAACCATGTGAGTCCCTGGAATACCATGACCAGCCAACCATGCAGAGGGGTTATGCTCTGTTTGGAACTCAATCTCTCTGAAATTATCCAGAGCCCCATGCCCAGGTAAGCCAAACCCAAAGCGCCATTGGAAACCTTAGAAGAAACTGATAATGATAAGTACCATTTAGAGGGTGATGGGGCTTCAAATTTGGTTGATGACTTGTACAAAACAATAAATAGGAAGATGAGCAGGAGGAGACTATCAGCAGAAATGACCAAAACATGGTTGGTACATGAATATGGATGAACAATGGCAGATAGGATAGAACTACAATTGTCTCTGCCTCCATTTGAACACTGAGGGTCCCCACAGAAGATGATCCAGACACTTTCAGCCATTCTCCGATTCCGACTCAAAAACTGTTTGCTGTCAGTGAAAAGGAAAACACATCAGGCTTGTATAGGGAAGCCATAAACTTGACATCCAAAGTGTATGTGAACATCATGAAATTCAGTAAGTATAACATAGTTGCTGCCACAGATTTGGAGGAAGATCTTATTATTAGTCTGTGGCTGGAGAGGGGTGAGTTCAAGCTACAAAACATATCTCTAATATCTCAATAATTTCTTTGATCTTAATATTGAATCACAACCACAGTAAGGGTGATATGATACCTCTAAAAATAATCATTGGTAACTAAAATCGTAAGAGTGATTTCTTTGCTTTCAAGTCAAACTAATGTTTTTTCAGCTAACACTTGGGATTAAAAAAGAGCTTGGAACCACACCCCACTCTGCGTATACATAAATTTTTCTGCACCATCATTGTCTGATTGGTACTATTGAAACTTGTGAATATGAAGGCTACACGGAAGCTAAGGTTAATTCAACATAAATAGAGAATATTTTAACTCAACTCAAGGTTAGTTCACGTAATAAAAAAGAAGCACTATAAATTCATAGTCTTTGAGTTCAAATATTGAAAAATTCCTTGAACTCAGCTTGTGAGAGATTTATCTCAAATAAATATTTTAGTTTTGGAATGAATAACTTATCTTTGATCGGATCAAAAATAAAATTAATCAAAGTGCAAAATTAATTCAAATACATTTACAAATAAACTACAAAAAAAAATAGACAATACCTAAAATAATTTGTCGTCATAAATAATGTGGATCCCACTGCATTAATAATGCATTGTCTTTGCCCATTTCCTGTAGTGTAGCAACTAACTATTGGGACTGCCAAGTTTGAGGATGGGCTAGCGAGTAAAATCTGATGCGTGCAAACTTCGCAAATATCAAACTTACAGGATGCACATAATTGAATATACCCTAGGAATATGAACTTATTTAGAGATAAATTCATCAAGAAAATTTATTTGATTTTATGTCCATTTTTTATCAATTTTACTATTATAACCCTTCTATGTAGGATTGTTATAAACGACGTTTATGGACACAATAACCAGTCAAATACATCTTTATCATAATTGTTTTCAAATCCGGCTACAATCTTCCAAGTTACAATGTTTCTTTATCCAAAAAATAAGAAATTGACATTTACCAAAAATCGTTTATATTCAAATTTCAAACTCATTACATTCCATAATATACAATTTCAATTTACTATTCCAGTTTATTTTGAACTCCATCGACAAAATATTAATATTTTAAAAATAACAATAGTAACATGTTCACAAAAAAATGATAACATGATAAAAAAGTAATAACAATTAGAGATTTAATTCTATCAAAATGAGCATTAACCTTATAATCAAGATTCAAGAAAACTCATATATTAGTACTAAATTAAAATGTTATATATTTCAATTTTGTTGATTTTTTGTTGCGCAAGAAAATCGAGTATTCTTTTATTGTATTACTATGGAAAAAGTTCATGTTATTGTACATGAACCGAAAAACGGAGTTTAGAATTTCGATGTCATGATATTCACAATTTCGATGTCTTAATGTTCACAATTGGTATTGAGTGTCGTAATTCAACTATCGATTATATGTTACTACTCGTCATTTTATAAATTTTTAATTTGTGAATCGTATTTTTACTAAAATCATTCGAAAGTTGATGTTACTATAAAAAAATTATTGTCTTATTTTTTGTAAAATTATATGTGTTACTAAGCACAAAACTTTGATGTTACTGTGAATATTAAAATGTATGTTACATAATATACGTCTCAAGGTTTGAAATTTTATGTTAAAATTCACTATAGTAATTTTAGTATCAGTATAGTAACACTACTATACTGGTAACACGACCCTAATTGTAACTTCAATTATATAGTAACATGAATGTTACTATATATTAACATTCGTGTTACTGAACTCTGTTGACATTTTTCAGTCTCTCTATATTATATATTACTGTTGTTAAGAAAATTTTGTGATTTGATTTTGACTTAATAAACTAACAATTTATTCGTACATTAAACTTCTCATATATAACAATTATAATATATAATTTCTATATAAAACTTCCGTTAATTATCATAATATTTAATAAATGATTTCTATATACAACTCAATCAAGAATTTTCATATATACTTTCAATAATTTAACCTATGTAATTTTTCATAACTGAACAAAAATAACATCGTTAGAGGTAATTTTAAAATTTAAAAAATAAATAGAATTAAATACCCAAATGTAAATTTAAACATGAACTTACTTTCAAACAAGTTTTCTTTCGAGACTCAAGTCATTATAATTTCATCTAGGACAACTCACTCTCAATTTTCACTCTATAAATACTTGAGTGAATATCATAATTAGCCCTTAAATTTTATCTTTTGCTTTAAAATGATCCTGAAACTTTTAATTATTTAAATTTAGTCCATTAATTATCAATTTTTTGTCTCAACTAAATCAACACATCAAACGACCACATGACAAACAAGTGACATGCCTTAGTATTTTTAATGATTCAAATTAACAAAAATGATTTAATTGGCACAAAAAAATTGATAATTGAATAATTAAATTGAGACAATTGAAACTTTAGGAATTATTTTAAAATAGAAGACAAAGTTTGAGGACTAATTATAATATTTATCCTAAATACTTAAAACCTTTATAGGAAATTTTAATTAAAAAAATTTAAGAAATAGCACCCCTATTGTACAACAAAAAAATCTAACTTAGTACTTCCTCACTATATTGTCAATCTTAACCCCTAGTCACATGAAACTTAGTTCTTGCGTGGGAGAATATTTTCAATGTATATTATACGTTATATGATAATACCAAATGATAATAATCAAGTCTAGCCTCTGATCAGTGTTTTAAAACCCAGCTCGGCCCATCGTGTCAACCCAAAAAATTGATGAACCAGGGGCCGGCCCAACGGGTCAACCCAAAAAACCAATGAAGCAATGCCTAAGCCGGGTCGATTCCTTAATTGGATCGGTTCAACAAATGGCCTGCTCGAGAACCGTTCAAACCGGCCTAAATCGATCATCACTTAGAACCGTTCAAACCGGCCTAAATCGATCATCACTTTTCATGAACCCTTGCAAACCGATTCCAGGTCGAATCCTTAACTGAATCGGTTCAACAAATGACATGCTCGAGAACAATTCAAACTGGCCTAAACCGATCACTTTTCATGAACCCTTGCAAACCGGTCCAATTTCCATGAATCCAACAAATTCATTTTCATACTGGAACTCAAACATAAAATATCAAAACCAAACTGCGAGGCTCAAACATAAAATATTCTAACCAAACTTCAAAGGAGCTGACGTGTCAGCAAGTTTTGAGCATTATCAACAACCAGCAGATAAGTGCAGCACTTTTATAAGCACACATTCCTCATAACTCCTTGTGAGTTTTCGAGGTGGGATAGATAGTGCAATTAAACTATCATTGTTTTTTTTATTAATTTTTCTTTTGATTTTTTAGGCATCATATTATACTATTTATACTAAATATTCAATATTTTTTAGTGAATTATTTTATGCTCTGTCAAATTATATCTATTATGTAAGCAAATTAATGATTTGAGGATATTTTTTGTCTTTTTATTTCATTTACTATAACATAAAATATGTTATTTTTGTAATTATTATAATTTTTTAGCATATTTATTATTATTATTAATTATATGACTAGTTCGACCGATTGACCCACGGTTAAACCAATAATCCATTAACTTGGTCCCTTTGTCGGATTGGTGTCCAAACCAAATTTAAAAACTATGTCTCTAATAATTTAGAAATCGCATGTTTAACACTTCTCGTATCTTAGAATTGTCATTTAATCTTGTTCTTCAAGGAATATATTTTAAATCCGTTCGGATTACAATAACTAATATTCGAGTTCGAAAGAGTAATCAGCACAAATTTAGACAACCTAGAGCCAAAAAAAATAAAATGATATACATCACCAAAAATATATTGTACATTTTCAATGAATAATTATCAATTTGTCAGCTTTTTTCTTTTTTAGTTAACATGTATCTCACAAGCTAGTGTTATGTCAATTTTTCATTAATTGTGCATAACACTGTCATATAATGTCCATAATTTACTAAAATTCTTTTCCTTACTTCCGGGGATCTCCTTGCAGATATCATCTTAGGGGGCTTACACATAAATTTTTCTGCAGCATCATTGTCGGATTGGTACTCTTGAAACTTATGGATATGACAGGCTACACGGAGGCTAAGTTTAACACAACATAACATAAATAGAGAACGTTTTAACTCAAGTTCTTAGTAGTTTAAGTGATAAAAGAGAAGTATTATAGCCTTGAGTTCAAATATTGAAAAAAAAATTGAGCTCAGGTCATGAGAGATTTATCCCATATAAATATCTTAGTTTTGGCATAAATAACCTATCTTTGATCGAATCAAAATTGGGACAATTGAATCTTTAAGAATTATTTTAAAATAGAAGACAAAGTTTGAGGACTAATTATAATATTTATCCTAAATACTTAAAACCTTTATAGAAAATTTTAATTAATTTAGAAATTACAAGTTTAACATTTCTCATGTCTTGGAATGGTCAATTATTCTTCTTTTTCAGGGAACATATTTTAAATCCGTTCGGATTACGGTGACCAATATTCGAGCTCGAAAGAGCAATCAGCACGAGTTTAGACAACCTAGAGCCACAAAAAAATAAAATGATACACATCACGAAAAATATGTATTTTACATTTTCAATGAATAATTGTCAATTTGTCGGCTTTTTTCTTTTTTAGTTAACATGTATCTCATAAGCCGGTGTTATGTCAGTTTTTAATTAATTGTGCACAACACTGTTTGTTTTGTTTGTTTGCCATAAACTTAACATCCAAAGTGTATGTGAACATCATGAAATTCAGAAAGTATAACATAGTTGCTGCCACAGATTAGGAGGAAGATCTTAATA